CACACACACACACACACACACACACACACACACACACACACACACATGCCCGCCCACTCTGTGTTTGTGCACCCGTGTATGTGTGCTTGCGTGTGTTCGTGCATGCGTGGGTTGTCATGTTCGCTATGCAACTCCACAAAAAGAGCATGAGTGAGCCACTGTCTAGTCGGACTTTCACCAACTCATCAGGAGGTTGAACCCCGACAGTCTCCCCACGATGCATTTCCACACTTGTGTGTGTGCATGTGTGCGTGCGTTCATGCACCCATGCGATGCCATGGTGGCTATACACACCTCCACAAAAGAAGGCAGTACAGTCAAGCCCTCAACCCAATGGGCCATTGTACTCCACTACCGTGAGGGCGCCGCCCTGCAACAGGCCAATGACCGACAGGTACGGGCGTTTCTTTTCCGTACGGGCCCGTACAGACCATCTTCTCAACGGGCGCAGGCCAGAACGGTTCAGATCGTCACGCGATCTTCAAGTCTTAAGATCAAGCGACGATCTGCACCGTCAGGTCGACAGGACCGCGGAGGGCCTGGATAGTGGCATGATCTTAAAGTCTTAAGATCGCGTGACAATCCGAACCGTCGGGCCGGTAGGACAGCGTACGGTCCCGATTGCCCAATTCTCACATTAGCGATTTCTATAAGTGTAGGGATAAATGAGAGGACAAGGACAAACCCAAGTGTTTATGGTCTTCCATAAGCAAGGGAGGGAGGGGGGAAGGGAGGGAAGAATGGAGGGAGGAAGGGAGGGAGGAAGGGAGGGAAGAAAGGGAGGGAAGAAAGGAGGGAGGAAGGGAGGGAGGCAGCGAAGGAGGGAGGGAGGGAGGGAGGGAGAAAAATGGCAAGTCAGACAAATAAAAGGAGTGATAGAAGAAAAGAGAGAACAAGAACAAACGGAAAGGCAAGAAAAGGGAGACAGCAGGAGAATGAATGAGGAGGAGGGGGGAAGAGGAAATGAGGACTGGGAGTGAGAGGAGGATGGGGAGAGAAGGGGGGAAGAGGAGGAGGCGGGCGAGGAAGGAGAGAGGGAGAGGAGTATGGGGAGGAAGGGGGCAGGGGGTAGGAGGAGAAGGTTGAGGAAGGAGAGGCCGAGGACAAGAGGTTAGTCAGAAATTCACCTTCAAGACCACTTCTGACCAGGCCTTAGCTTTGAGATCCATAAGGTTCATACCACCACCATCGCCATGGTCAATGCTTGCATAGTCTCCAATCAACAGGGATGCCATAAAAGAGCTGCCAAAATCGGAAACAAGGATTCAAAAAGGGGAGAGGGTGGGGGGGAAACCCACCACATTGATAGCATCAACAAGCCAAAGCACACTTACAGCACAGCACACTGCATGCAGTCCACGCGTGAAGGGCAAGTGAGGCACAGTGCACACACTAGTGGGGTGTGTGCACTATGCACACCCAAAAAACAAAAGGGAAAGCAAAAACACTCAGAGAAAATTCAGTGAAGACATCTTATGTAAGAACTTAGAAGTACTAAAGAGATGAAAAGTTACGAAAAGTTACGAAACTTTACTAAGGTCTAAGACAGTAGAAGTAAAAGTAAAAGTTTGTAAAACTGATTTCAGGCTGCATGTGGCTAGGAGGATATCCTGCAGGGCTGCAACCTTATGTGGTCAATATTGACACAATTGGACAGTATACTAGAGTATAATAAATTAATAGTATTTAACATATTATTTAATAATATCATACAAATTTTAAATTTGTGGGACACAGCACAAGGCAATCTGCACCATACACTGCACGCCACACACGTGTGACGTAAGCAGGTTTGTCAACTTGTGACTATAGAAGGTACTATAGTTGATGCCATAAGATAGCTGTTACTACAGTGGTAGTTCTTCCTATAGCAGAGTTGTTCCTCTGGTTGTTGCTATACCATAGCTACTGCTATAGTTTTTCGCAATAGTAAAGTTGTTGATGTACTAAAATTGTTGCTTTTGCAAAAGTAAAATTGTTGCTTTTGCAATAGTAAAATTGTTGCTATTAAAAACCACTAATAGCAACAACTTATAGCAACAAGTATAGCAACAGCCATGCTATACCAACAACTGTAGCAACAAATATGCTAAGGTTTAGCATATTTGTTGCTATAGTTGTTGGTATAGCATGGCTGTTGCTATACTTGTTGCTATAACTTGTTGCTATTAGTTGTTTTTAATACTTTTTTATAGCATATCTGCTGCTGTAGTTGCTACTGTGGTATAATTGTTGCTATAGTTGTAGGTATAGCATAGCTGTTGCAGTAGTTGTTGATATATAGCATAGCTGCTATAGTTGTTGATATAGCAAAGCTGTTGCTACAGTTGTTGTTACTGTGTGTTTGTTGCTATAGTCGCAACTATGGTGGCTATGATATATATGGACAGAGGATACTCCCTCTCCTCATGCTCCAGCATCTCTCTTCTAAGTTGATTGAGTTGTACTTTGAATTACCTTCCCCCTCCTAACTCTCCCTCACCCTCGTACTTTCCCCGCTTATGTATTATAGCAACAACCATCATGGTGTTTATATTAAGTTTTTATTAACTGTATTAGTTTACTCTATGAAATAATGAAATACATTATATACTATATAGTGCAATCAGACTCACTGTCTTCTTCACTTCGCATACATGCAAACAGATAGCAATTCACACTGCCGCCAGGCGCCCACTCAAAGCTCAGAGATATGGAAAGCAAGAACACAGTTCAGATGCAAACTCGCTTCATCCAGCTATGGCGCAAAGGCGCCCGTACAGTGCGTACACCCAACTCTCGTCACTGTGTCCAACACCACTGTTCGCACGTACTCCACTCTGGATCACCTTGAATACTACCACGCACACACACTCAGCCTATCTTCTAACCTACGGCGGCTATGGCAGCTCGCCACTACTGATATGGCTACAACTCGCTCTTCAGCCCACTTCGTCTTCGGGCAACCTGGAGACCACCTTCGCACAAGACGCTGTAGCAGCGCTTCCGCATGGCTTACGCAGCGAATGAATGAATGGCTGGGCGCTGCCTCTTGATTTATACCTCTGTAACTCGCTGGTCTGCCCCTTTCCCAGGCCCTTGGTGCACACAGTCCCACACGGTACTTGCTTGACTGGACTCTGACTGACCGGGACCGGTACTGCTGACTGCATGGGTTTGCACTGCCAACTCGATGCAATCGCACTGCCAACGTAACGCAGTTGGGCTCACCACTTGCCCACTTGCCTCTGGCCAAACGTGAGGCAACTTCGAAAGGCCACTTCCGGACCTTCCGGAAGTCTGTGGACTTGGCCTTTCGAGTACTGTAGCAGCTACGACCTTGACCTTTCAGGACTGTAGCAGCTACGCCCTGGACCTTTCAGAATACCTACAGTTACGACCTCTACGGAGCTGCGACTCCTATTCGACAGACCTACAGATCGAACCCCTACCACTACACAGACCTATGACAGCCGACAAACAACTACCAAAGCACAGGTCACGGGTTCAAACACTCGGGGGTCGACTCGATACTGTACATGGGCAAAGTGAGGTCTGGGGGTCGAACTCTAGGGCCCGCATCTGTGACTGCAGAAAGGTGAAAACCGCTTCAATAGTATATAGTATATACTATACTCTATATACTGACCTGTGGTTGTTGCTATGATGAAGATCTAGAGATAATAGACATTTATACTACAGCACCGGTTTCGTTGTTGATTTTTTTTTTTTTGAAAAGCTTCAAAAGAGGCGGGAAACCCGAAATTTCTGAAGCAGTGAACTGATTTGCCTGCATTGGTCACGTTATCGCTGAAGACTACCATCTTCCCCCGAATAGAAAGTACAGTCACTATAGCAGCATAGCCGCATTTGGAGGACCTTTCAGTCTAGATACAGCCATGATGACCGTACGTTCTGTTCAGGGGGGAAGACGGAGTACCGAGGTGAGGCTCGATGACACAGGCATCACAACAACAGAGAGATTCACTTACCTGATTAGGGAAATCCTCTCACAGTTATCATATTCAACCCTGCAAAAAAAGGAAAGGAATCATTCAATGATTGATTGTCGGCAATGATCATGAAAAGCGAGAAGATTACCAAATTATAGAAATTTGAAACTATTTAATGAAATTAATTTAATTTTATTTTTTTTTGTTCTTTTTCAAAAAAATCACTTCTATTTTTATTATTTTTAATTATTAAACTGGAAACCGGGTCCAGTGTCCCTTACACTTTCCTCCTTTTTTTTTCTTTTTTTTTTTTAATGTGGTCCGATGGACCACAGATCAGTTATTAAACTGATCACAACAGATCTTAGCCAAAAGGCCGAGAAAGGTATAGCGTCCCTTAGACTAGATTATTGAAATTACTAAATTAGGAATGTAGTACGTAGTATCTACCTCTTTCTCGGTGCAAGGACGAAGATGACAAACCTGACAAACGCGCATAGATTGTCAGGGGTAGATCTGACAAAAGAAAAGGAGGGACAAATCCGACAACACCCTGGTGTCAGGGGACGAACCTGACGACAAACTCGTGTAGGTTATCAGGGACAAATCTGACAAAGAAAAAAGAGGCATAAATCTCACCAAACAAAAAACAGGGACAAATCCGACAACTCCCCGATGTCAGGGACAAACCTGAAAAACCCTTCGTCGCAGGAATGGAAGTGCTCTGCAAAAAAAAAAAAAAAAAAGGAAAAAGGAAAAAGAAAAAAGAAAAAAGAAAAACACAGTGTTCCTCCTCCAGACAAACCTGCCAAACCTACGTCAAAAGCACTTTCACCCATCTGGACAGCCGCACTTCCTTCCTTCTTCCCACTTTCACTTCAGTAACTTTTTAGTATTTACTATTTACCCAATGATGCGTTTGCAGGATTTGACCCTGCGACCATCTGATCCAGCCAGTCATTTACCGATTGTTTCCTTACAGCCTTTACAGGCTTAAAGCCTTAAATACCATTGTTCCCCCTGAATTCGACACCCTCAGCTGGATTTGAACCTGCAACCATCACCATGAGTCCCACGACTGCCAGCAGGATTTGAGCCTGAGACCATCGCCACGACTGCCAGCAGTATTTGGACCTGAGAGAATCATCGCCATGATTGCCAGCAGGATTTGGACCTGTGATCATCGGCATGGCTGTCTATCAGCGGTATTGGGACAGATAGCAGATGCACATTCTATCCCAGATCTGTGAGTGCGGACTATCACGATGACTTTATATCAGGCTGTGGCAGACAGTCACTACCAGCGGGACTTGAACTTGCGACCATCGACATGACTGTGTATCAGCCGTACTGGGACGCACAAGAGGTCCACATTCATGAGAATACAACATTGTATTGAGGAGGGTGGTAGTGTTACTGGTTATGGTGGATCAGCCCCTCCTTTGAGGGATGTACAGGCGACCATGCACTACTCCTACTCCTCTTGACACCTCTACCTACTGTCTTCACCCGAATAAAACGCCCGGTTACTATAGAATCTAGTATAGATGTATCTGGACTGAAAAGTGCACCAAATACGGCTATAATGACCGGGCGTTCTATTCGGGTGAAGACGGTAGCCACCACGTGTCGGTCACAGATGAAGTCCATGACCACTGGGAACCAAATCAGGGGGCTTCTTGATGCAGCGCCAACCAAGGAAAGGAAGATGAGGGTCCACCATAGCCAAAGGTAAGTGAAGATGAAGGTCCACCATAGCCAAAGATAAGTCTTCTTGTCCATTCCCTCCTTCTTCCACCTCCTCTACTCAAGATCTCCTATCACCATAGCTCATGCAGGCATCTACTACCTCTCCCTCCATAGCCATACACTCTCCCTCTTCTCCACCTACTGCTCCATAGCCATGGAGGTCTTCCTCATCACCCTCTTTCAGGAGTCTTGCTCCTCCCCATCACTCTCTCGAAGGAGTGTTTCTCCTCCTCATCACCCTGATGTTCTGCCACTTGTACTCTCTTGGTGGAGCAGCAGCACAACTGCAACCGGCAAATACGCAGACTGCTCATTGCACCAGCCAATTGGCCCTGTATACTTTATGTACCTCTCAGCCTCCTGCGTCACTTACCCAAGTGTTACCTGATACCTACCATTATGCTCCTTGGCCTGCTGCACCCCCTTCCCTAGTTTTGGCGGGAACAGCAATGCAGACTGTCAATCCATGCAGGTTCACCGTACCCAGCCAAATATCTGTCTTGGTTCAGGACGGTACCATCATTTCACTTACCTCTCTCATCTACCGGACCTAGGGCTCTCCCAGCTTACTGGAAATTTCCTACCGGGACCCTCTTCAATTCTCAGTCTACCCTGGTCCGTCCCACTATCTCCCATATGTCCTTCTACAACAAAATTTCAGTCTTGTCCCTGATTCATGACCTGTTTACAAATATGCCCCCGTCCCAGATACGCAGACACCCACAGGTAACAGACTGAGCGCACACATACACAGAAAAATTGGGCTCAGAATTTCTACAGACAAGCACACACAGAAGTACGAAGTTATTACACACATCATCAGCAGAAACATTCAGACTCAGAAATTACAGCAAAACAGACTTCGACTCGCAAATCTCAGCAAAACAGATTTAAAAAAAGCCAGCGACAGCCAGCGACTTCCTCAGAAAAAAATGCCGATTTCTCAGCCTCAAACTGTGCAGGTCTGGCCTAGCTCAGTTGGTACCACCCACAAGCTGTTGAAACGCAGACCTGAGTTTGAATTCCACTGGAATGGACTCCGATGACTGGCGTGAGAAAGACTTCTGTATTTTTCCGGGGCCAGTCCGTTCCAAAATGATTTCTCAAGGCTGCCACCCTTTTTAAAATTTAAACAAACAAAAAAAATAAAAATGGTGCGCGGCATTGCACTTGAGAAATAAAACTCCAGCCTTAAACCACCAGTACATCCGAGACAAAATTCACGAGCCTGAAGCCGACCCCTGCGTGCCAAGCTTTGCCGAAATGCCAGCGGCGTTGTTGTTTTCTTTTGGCTGGCACCGCCAGCCACTTTGGTCCAGTGGCACTGTTCATCGGCACTTTTCGGATATATCAATTGCGATTCTCAAGTTGGCTGGGGCCATGTACGGGCGGTTTTAAAGACGAGGCTCCAGTCTATTCGGCATGAAGCTGTCAAGTTGTGAATAGTGAAAGATAGTAAGCTGTGTTTAGTACTGTTTACTACCAATGTTATTTTTTTAACTTTTTTTTTTTTTTTTTTCAAGAGAATAGCATGCTTTATTATATATGGAGCAAAAGGAAGCCGGGAATCCCTCCACATCTCAACCCGGAAGACTGGGGCCATTACCCAGATTTGGCTCTTACTGGAACCCAGGTCCAGTGTCCCTTTCTCCTATGAAGCTTCATGCTATTCCTGAACAAAGACTAAAACTGGATTAACAAAGGACGAAATAGCAAAAGATGAAAGAACCTGCCTACTATCTTTCCATCCATCCCCAACTTAAGCCCTAAAACCGACCGCTGTGATCCATCTTTCCCATTACCCCCGACACCTCCTCCTCTCTGTCCGCTCGACTTAAACCCTAAACCCTACAGAACGGGCAGGTCACTCTATCCTAAATCCTAGCTTATCCTAACTAACTGTCTGAGAGGTTGAAACTCTACGACTAGCCTTCCGCTATTGCTGTCTTACCTATACGTTTTAAATACCTCTGCAATACCTCAAACCCCCGTTGCTTCTTGTTTGATCCGTCTATCTTTCAAAGCAGTGGAAACTCAGCGTCAAGCGTGCTCATGTTGCTATCTTCCCTTGGAGCAAAACCCTCCTTTGAAAATTTTCCGTTAGGTCCTTGGCTTGCATTGGGTTTTGCTGGGCCTGCTTGCGGATTCTCTTCTATTGTGCCCGGATGTCTGTTTCCACTAAATTGTAGAGCGTCTCCTTCGCTTCTTGCATGTGCATTTGCTTGTTTCCTAAAAGGGCCTTTACCCGATTCAGCCCCTGCTCGATGAAAGCAGTATACTGGGGTCCCTCGCCCAGAGCTCAATTCATGAAAGCAGATCAAAGGACATGTTCTCTGGGTCAAAGGTCACATCCTAACTAAAGCAAAAGACATTGTCAAAGGTCACAGTTGTGCCCCTGGACGAACAGCTGCAAAATCTAAATGTTTGGGTCACATCTGTTCATCCAGGGGGTGTGCAAGTCATATCTGTACGTGCAGTCAATGTGTCTGTTCGTGCAGTAAAAGTGTCTGTTCGTAGAAAAGATGTGGCTGTCTAAAAAGAAGTCAAACAGATAAGTCCCAGTTCAGGTTCAAGTCAAGGGGAAAGTCTAGATACAGATAGACAGTCAAAAATTGAGGCCTACAGGCCGCAGCAGCAGCAACCCTTGAAGGGAAAGAGTCTGGGACACATTCCACAGAGGCTGGGACTGGGAAAGGACCCAAGACAGACAAAATTCAGACCTCGTTTGGGGAGGCCAGCACTATAAGAAACGAGACTGCCTCCCCACAAGGCAGATTTCCCATAGGCATTGATGCGTGGAGTGCTGGGGCACTTGTGCGCTATAATGCTGGGAGAGGCGCAGGCTGAAGAAGAGCTGCGCCAGGAAGAAGGGAGGCTGGGCGCTGGCTGCAGAGAAGCCATAGCTGCGCCAGCTTATGTTAGTAGTAGAGAGTTAG